TGGCCTTTTGCCTGTTTTCCCAGCGTGTGTCATTGCCCTTGATTTACAGATTAAAAAGAAGAAACACTGAGGCATGGAAAGTTTAAGTAACTTGCTTGAAGTGGTAGAGCTGGGATTCAGACCAAACCATCTGACTTCTGAGCCCACCCACTTACCCAGAGAGTCGCACCGTGCCCCCCCGGCGGCCAGGCAGAGAGCCCTGGTCGTCTTTAGTTCCTCCATGTGTCAGTGCTTGGAAGTAGGTGCCAATTTGTATTAGATGAATAGGTGAGTAAGGGGGTGGATGGATGGAAAGACGGATAATTGGGTAGCTGGAAAGTTGAGTGAGATGGAAGGGTGGCCACGTATGTGGGTGGATGCATGGATTCAGGGTGGATGGCGAAGCGGATGGGTGGCTTGGTAGATGAATGGGTGGATGAGTGGGTGGATGGAGGGATGGACGGGGGATGGGAATGGAGGGAGAAGGGGAGGGAGTGAATGATGAGCGGATAAATGGGCAAGTGGGTGAAAGAGTGTACAGATGGGTGAGTGAGCAGATGGGTGGGTGTTCAGGCCAGAGGGCTTTCTCGTATGTAGTGTATTGTGTGTTCAAAGAAAGTGTCTGGAGACAATGCTGGCTTCACTTAGTCACAATTATCATGGGCATTTTGACTAGAGTGGCCGTGGACCAGACAACATCTGTCTGTTCGCCACCCTATTACCAGTAACTACATACAGTACAGAGTCTGGAACATGGAGGGCTCTTAAAATACGTTTTTTTGAATGACCGAAAAACTAAACAGATAGGAACCAGACAGCTTAAAATACAGAGCCTTGCAGGCTCCTTAGTGCGTACCGTGCAAAGGCCCATGTCAGAGGTTTACGCTGACGGACTGGGGAGATGGATGGATCGTACCAGTCTGTCCCCAAGGCAAGAGTCATTACTCAGCCAGGACACAAGCTCTCCAGGGCCTGTCGGAGTGTTTGGGCAGAAGTTGTTAAGAAAACATCTCTCTGAGTGTCTTTCCTCCCTCTGTGTTTGAAGCTCAGCCTGGTAGCGAGCATCGGGCTCTCCAGAAGCTGCTCTGTTGACACTTGTGGTCCCAGACTGTTTCGATTTGCCTTTTTAACTAATGACTTCAGCCCAGGATGAGGCCTGTCACTTCAGCTTTCATCGACTCTGCCAAGGCATTGGGCTGCGCTGGCTCTTCTCTGTTGTGAAGGCGCATCTTTAGTGGCAGTTTGTCCCCGTCTGTTGTGCCCACCATCCCTACACAGGACAGTGAGACAGGCCAGGGTATCATCGGAGCGCCCAAACCCTGGTCTCCTGCCTTCCTGTGTGAGACCGCTCTAGAAAACAGAAGTGCGAGGGAGAAGGAGAGTAGAAAGAGCCCGGCCGCCTTTCTGACGGAGGCCGAGGCTGGACCGAGGGTGCTGGCCAGGGCGTCGGCGGGAACCGGTGTGTCTCTGTAAGGCCTGTGCGTCTTCCGTGGAGGGCAGGATCGCCCTCGTCAAGCATGTTGTAATTATATGGTTGAGTTTAAAAGGTCAGAAGAATGCGGACTGTGACTTCATGGGTATTTTCACTTCGGGGGAGGTCAGAATAGCAGCAAATGTGGAAAACGAGCTGGCTTTGGACAGTGGTCAGTGGTAACAGCCATGTGCAGCCCGGCTGAGCTGGCGAGGAAGAGCTCACGTTCGCGAAGTTAGTGTGCTGGGCACTGGTCTTAGTGCCTGATGTTACTTGACTCACTGAATCCCCCCCAGCAGCTCGGTGAATTGGGCGCTGCCGAGGCTCCGAGAGGTCAGATGAGGCCGGTGAGTGGCCGAGCCAGGATTCGGACCCAGGCAGCCCCGCCGGAGGGTGTGAACTCTCACTGCCCTGCCCTCTGCTGCCTCTCAGAGAGGAAATACGACCACAGAGAAGGAAAACAGAGCCCGTTCCGCCCTTGCAGCCTGAGACCCACCTCCGCACATCAGTGCACCGAGGGAACCCGGCTGGTCCTCTGTTTTCATGTCTCTAAAATGGGACAGGGTGCAGGCGGCGGCACCCGCAGGAGTGACGTGGAGAGGCCCAGGTTTGCCACAGGCCCTTGAGCCAGCCCTCCCCCTGTCTGGGGGCTTGGCGTCCATGAACTCTCCCCCCAGTGTCACCCATGGCTCTGCTCTGCGGCTTGCAGCCCCCTGCCTGGCCTGAGGTGGAGCTCCCAGGTTCCAGGATGCCTGGAAGCGTCTGATGCCAGGGAGAGTTCAGGCAGGATCAGGGCCCAAGGACGCCCACCTTCCCGCGCCCCGGGTCGAGCAGAGCCTTGCCAAGCCGGCTGAGCTGTTGGGGCCACGTATCTTTGAATGGTTTAAGCAAGAGGGTGATAAGATCAGCTTGGGTTTGAGAAGGTCGCTCTGGCCATGGGGCGAACAGACGGGAGGGCAGCCAGGGGGAGCGGAGCAGACAGGGAAGTAACTGTTACCGACGTCCAGGCAAGAGATGGCGTGACCACGAGGCTGCGATAGAGGTGCTGTGGAGTCAGGAAAGGCTGGAAGGCAAATTTGGGAGAGGTTTAATGCTCTTGCACAGCGGCTGGCTGTGCGAGAGATGTTCCGATTTCTGACTTGCTGCCTGGGAGGATGGTGACACCCTTTACCCTGTGGGAGGCTTGGCTGGGAACCCTGTCCTCCTTCACAGCACGTTCTGGAAGAGGCCCACCGCACCTTGTTTTCCTTGGTGAGGAGGAGGAGTGGTCTGGGCGCACGGTTAGCCACTGCACCCCTCGTCATAACTGGTCGTCCTCCACAGAACCCAGTGGCTCCTGCCAGGGCCTCATGTGGCTTTTCCTCGTGGAGGGACGGCACACCGCTGCAAATTGACGCAGGCAGCTCTGGAGGAGGGAGCTGGGGCTCAGTGAGACTGTCCACGCAGTCACTCCCAGCATGGTTCTGAGCTCCCTAAGCAAGCACGGTGTCCTTGACGTTTGGGCTGGGGACAGCTCCTTAGAGGGGGGCACTGGTGGTCCTGGTGGTGTTTTGAGGGGCAGTGAAAGAGGAGGAAAGTGGTTCCAGGAGGGGAGGCTCTCACGTGCCTTTGTATACCTCCACCGTAGACATCTTGTTGCAAAGTATGTTGTTTGCTCTCAGTTTGAAAGAAAAGAACAAAAAGTAAATTTTGAAAAAGAAGAAGAAAGAGGTGTAGCCAGAAGGGGGTTCAGTTGGATAGCAGAGTGGGTTGTGGCTTAGCCTGGGCCGGGGCTGTGCCTCTGCACCCAAGGGCCTGGCTACAAGCCCTCACTACACCCCCCCCACACACACACACACATGCTATGGCAGCAGAAGCCTGGGCAGGAACAAACCACTTGTCCCTGATCTGTCTGGCCTCTTGGCCCCTGTGTGGACCAGGGGACGCTGCCCTGCTCCTGGCAGACCCCTTGTCTCCTGGGCTCGAGTTGCTCTGGAGATAGGTAGCCATGCTTCTGGGTCCGCCCATAGTCAAGAAGGAGCTCCAGGAAGGGCCTCTGCTTCCACTGTGGCCTAAGGCTCAGTGTCTCCTCTCTCGGTGAACCCCACCCCTGCCGCCCTTCCCCCGGACCAAGGCCTGAGGCCAGGAGTGTGCCTGCTCAGCTGCTCACGTATGGCCTGGACTAGAGTTAGTACAGCTGCTCCAGAGAGTGGATGCTCCGTCCTCACCACCCCTCTCCCACCCACCCACCCACCCATCCATCCATCAATCATCCATCACTCCAGCATCTCATTGCAACATTCCCAGAGGGCAGGAATAAGTATTTGATAAGAATTTAATGAGAGCAGATGCCTGCATTTTCAGTATGAAGAGTTTTGTGAGAAGTTGTCTGGGACCACATTGCTAAAGGCAAGAGGGAGTCATTGAAGGTTCTTGAGTAAGAGGGGTGGCATGCACAATCTCTGCTATAGAACAATCACTCTGCTATGTGCAGAGGGAGGCTGGGAGCAGGGAGGAGGCAAGGAGGCTGTTGTGATGGGTGAGAGCCTCCTCCGTGGGGAAGGTTTAGAAGGGAGAGAAGAGAGGGTTTTTCTGTTCCCGATTGGCTTATGTCACATGCCAAGCTCTTTGCTGCTTCAGTGCCTTTACACAGGCTGCTTCTCTGCCTGGAACACTTCCCTGTGCTAGCACAAGGCTCCTCCTCCTGGTCTCAGCCTCAGAGAAGCCTTCCCTGATCTGTCTAAACAGCAACCCCGTTCCTCTCTGTGAAAACGCCTCGTTCACATGTCACAATTTGTGATCATATGTTAGCTTTTCCCTTTTTGAGGACAGGGACCATATCTGCTTTATTTTTTACCCACTGCCTAGCTGTGTGCCTGGCATAAAGCAGACAATCAATAAATACTTACTGAGTGAATGTATTACTTACTTAATCAGTTAATGGCGATGGCTACGTAATAGTCAGTTGTACAGACATGAGATCATCACACGTGTATATGCTTTGTAAGTGTCAATCGTCGCAACACCTGCTGGGAAAATGAGACAGACATCATTACCCCCCCAGTAGCCGAGGTGGAAACAGGTGCCTTGCATGGTCTGGCTGATGGCAGGGCTAGGGCGAGGGGCTGCGATGCCCATCCCTGACTCTCTGCCACACCATCACATCCCTTCTTCAGGCCCAGAGTACATGGCCACCTTGAGGACTGACGCTGCTGCCTGACCAGGCCAGTCCAGGCTGCCAGACCAATCAGACCTCTTGCCCTCATAGTAATTATCTATACCTTCCTTCAGCATCACACGAGGCTGTCTTAGACAGCATGTGTAAAGGCACTGAGGCAGCAAAGAGCTTGGCATGTCCAAGAAACTGCAAGGAGGACAGGCTGGTTGGAGTTGGGGCAGGAAGGAGGTTTGTGCCTGATTTTATTCATTTCTGGGTCCCCATGGAGGACATAGAGCTCTGCATACAGAGCACTTGTGACTGGCTCGTGGCGTTAGCAGGTCTCCTGGCCCATTCACTTTCCCTTTGCTGGACAGGGAGGTCTAACCACTCTCTCCTCTGCTCTGACCCCAGTGCCTACACAGAGCCCTACAAGGTCTGTCCCATCTCAACAGCAGCCCCCAAGGAGGACCTCACGTCGGATGAAGAGCAGGGAAGCTCGGAGGAGGAGGACAGTGCTCCAAGAGACCCCAGCCTCACCCACAAGGTAGGGCGCTCCCTCCAGGCCTGGGGCTGGTGGGAAGTGCGGGTTTGGGAGGTGAGGGTGGAGAGAGGATGGTAAACCATCCACCTCTTGGTGTGGAGGGAGCTGTTTGCAAACAGCTGTCCTCAAGCTGGATACAGAGGCTGAGTCTCAGACCTGCTGAGGCTGCAGCTTGAAGACACATGGCAGACACAGGGGCCGGAGTTGCTGATACAGGGTGATTGCTGACGTCTCCGGGCTCCGAGGAAGTTCAGGGCTTCCCAGAGCCTTTGGGGATGACGTGGAACATTGTTGCCTGGCTTGAACAAAGTCAGATCTGGATTTCCAGTGACCTTGGGCCGCTGGGGCTCAGTTTTCTCATCTGTGAAGTGGAAATCGAGAGGGTGAGATGGATTAAGGGGTATGAGTGAGTTTCATTAAGTGAAAACAGTTTTAGAATGAGAGCTGGTGTCCCCGTTCCCTGCAGTGATGCTGAGAGGGGCAGGACCGAGGGATGGGCTGTCATTTGTCTAAAGGCGGGCAGTGACTCGGGGTCCAAGTCTCAGTGAAGGCCCAGACCTTCTTACTGGGCATCGGGCATCAGGCAGGGACCCCAGCTCATCCTTGTCCCCTTCCCCTTCCCCTTGTTCCTGCTCCTCCCTGGCTAGACAGTGAGCTGTCTGTTCTCCACTCCTTATGACTTTGGAGTTAGTCCCATTGTCCCTGTTTTGCAGCTGAGGACACAGAGGTTCAGAGAGGTTAAGTAACTTGCCCAAGGTCACACTGCTGGTGTCCTGCTGGGGCCAGAGCTGGGTGGAGCCGGTGGCCCTGGGGACAGGGCCCACATAGGGAGCCACGCTGGGGACAGGAGCATCCTGTCATTCTGAGAGCAGAGACGGGGAAGCCAGACTCCCTGCAGCAGGTCGGTTCACTCTTGGGGGCCCGGCCTCCTCACCTGCCGCCCTCTGCCCTCTCGTCCTCCCTCACAAGGCCTACACGACTTAGCAGAGGTGACACCACCTTCAGAAGTCAGGTCTTCGCTGCTCAAGGCGTGCTCTGCTAGACTTTCCTGAGGACGTGTGAAGTCACTACAGGCGAGGGTGGAAGTGCCCGGGACCCGCCTTCCCAGCCCTGTGCCCTCAGGGGTAACTGTGATGCACAGCTCGGTGTGTGTCCTTCCAGAACTTTCCCCTGTATTCACCTGTGTGTGTCGTTCACTATGACGGGAATGGATGGTATCGGCTGTGGAGGTGCTGTTTTTCCATACGTCACAGCAAACTGTAAGAAACCCAGGGTGGCTCGGTTGGGTTCGTTGATGAGAACCTCAGGGGCCTTCCCACGCTGGTGCCCAGAGGTCTGACTGCGTTCTCAGTGCTGCACGGCGTCTCAGCATGTACACCTTCTGCCGTTTATTTTGCCATCGGCTGCTGAGGGGCATGACAGAGTCCCTGATGTCTTTGCCTTACTGACCACGTTGCAGGACACTTTATCATGCACCCCCCACCCACACACACACGTGTTTTCCTCGAGGTGGATCCGGGAGGGGCCGGTGGACCAGCGAGCAGGCACGTTCAGTCTTCTACCTGCTGTTAAATTTCCCACCCCCGCCCCGAGGCTGCCACAGCACAGTGTGCTCCTGGCAGCCCAGCCGGCAGCCCCGGAGCGGGATTGTTCCAGATCCCTGGTGCTCCCCAGAGTGAGCAGTCTTCCCTGGCTCTTTTGGTGGGGCGGGGTGGGGAGAGGCGCATTTACTCCTGATTCTTTTGTCTTCCATTCTTTCCAAAAATTCTGTTTCTCCAAAATGCAGACCTCTCCTCCCTGTGCCTCCGTCATGTCCTGGGGGAAGTAGGACCCAGATTTCCACCTCCAGCCGTCCCAGGGAGGGCAGACCTAGACCAGGTGTGAGTGGTCAGGACGGCGCCCCTAGGGCCGTGGGAGGACGTTTGGGGTGTGGCGGTGAACTCGTGAGCTCAAGAGCTCCACCCTCCTTGCAGTGTGATAAGGTTTATGTAACAATAAATAAAAAGTGGTGAGCCCCGCCCTTCCCAGATGTTCTGGGGTGACCGAGTCGGGAGGGGAGAGGTTTTTGGAGCAGGACAGGAAGCTGAGCCCAGCTGGTCCACCCACCTGTCTGACCTCTCTCTCTCCAGCTTGCAGACATTCAAAAGGGATGGGTTGAAGAAAAGAGGGGGCAAAAAGATGAAAATCGAGAAGGACAAAAATAGATTTAGCAATGAAAGAAGACATTGAGAGGCTGGCCGGCGAGTCGCCCCTCCCTGACAACGAGCCGGGTTTTCAGACTAATGGGGACTTTTCAAGCTAAATACCAGCTCCCCGAGACCAGCCCAGGAGCTGGGGGCCCCTCCCTGCTCCCTCCTCCCTGGCCTCAGTCCTGTTGTCACTCCGTTTCCCGGACGGGTCCACCCCTGAGCCTAGGCAGAAGGCTGCCCTGTCCTCTGGAGCAGACCTGTCCTGCCACACCCTCCCTGGCCCCCACCCACGCAGGATGTCCCCTCCCTGACTGCACGGGGAGGGGGGAGGCGGCCTGGCCTGACCCCCCTTGCTGACCTCGTGCCCCCAGGCCTTGCACCTGTGGCCCCGCCCTGACCGTCTGCCTGGGTTAGCGGGTCAGCTTGCGTCCTGCCTGTTTCCCTCGCGGCGGTCCTCAGCCTGGGTTCAGTGCCTGCCCGCTCCGCTCCAGGGACTGCGAGCCCCCTAGTTCCGGCTGCGTGCTGGCTCCGCTGCGGGGGCGCGGTCCCTGAGGCCCAGGGGAGGCTGTACTAAGCCTGCAGCAGCTTCCTCAGGCTGCAGCCTGTTCTCCGTCCCAGAAAATAGCCCCCTCTCGAACTTGAACTCCCTCCCTTCTGCACCTCAAGCTCTGTCTCCTCACCCAGTTTCACCCGTCCCTCCTAACAGAAATTTACTTATTTACTAAGTGCTTACTGAGCGCCTACTGTGTGCCAGGCACCCTTCTAAGGGCTGAAGGTACAGCAGCCTCAAGTCAGACCAGGTGCCTCCCAGCCCTGGTGGGACAGCCAGCCCGAAACTGTTCAGGTGGGTGTAGGAGGTGAATGTGCTTATTCTGGGAGCAAATGCTCAAACCATGGGGGCGGCAGACAGAGCTCGGGCTCAGGAGAGGGGACTGGAAGGCCGTGTCTCGTGTGAGCCGCATGCTGGCCTCTGCAGTGAGAGCTGCCAGTCACAGTCAGCGCCGCTCTCCCGGGATCCTAGGAGCTGAGAGAGCTGACAGGCATGTAGAGGTCACTTTGTCGTGTGTTTTGCTGTGATAAGAGCACCTGACATGAAACCTGCCCCCCGTGCCCGTCCAGGAGTGGGCGGGTAAACAAAGTGTGGTCTCCACGTCAGATGGGGTGTTATCCAGCCTTTAAAAGGAAGGACATCTTGTCACGTGCTGCAAGGTGGATGACCCTGGAGGACAGGGTGCTGAGGGACGTAAGCCAGTCCCCGAAGGCTGATTCCTGCACAAGTCCACTTACAGGAGGAGCCTAAAGCAGTCAGGTTCACTGAAGCAGAGAGCAGGATGGTGGTGCCAGGCGTGGGGAGAGGGAAGGTGGGCGCGGAGTCGGCTGTGCCCGAGGCAGCGCTGTCTTGCAGGCAGGGGCACACGAGCTAGTGCTGGCCGCTTGTCCAGCACCTGCAGGCAAAGCCAGCAGTAGAAGTCAGGGTTCCTGGTGCCTTTTTCGGGGCGTTCTGGGGTAACACGCTGCTGATGTGTTACAATTTGCACCCAGAACCAGAGTTTTTCCAAAACTGAAGGTTTTCTAAAGTATTCGGGCTAGACCCTGACTCACAGCAGCCTATGCTCGGGAACTGGAAGCAGGCAGGGTGTCAGCATGAACCAGAAGCCGACCACTTGGTCCTTGGGGAGCTGGGAGGTGGGGCTCTGGTTGGTCCCACTTTCCTCCCACGCTGTCCTGCAGGCGTTGCCTCTCCTTTGCCCTCCTCAGCCCTTCTCTGCCACCCGTGGGAACACAGCTGGGATGAAAATGAGCCCTCTCTCTCTGAGCTCCTGTCTGAATTTGCCAGCAGCCGTTGAAAGCTGTGCTGGAAACTCGGTCTTCATTCCAAGGGGAAGGATGATGTCCATGCAGGTGGTGCCCGGAGGGGCCTTGGAGACCATGTTCTCCTGAAGGCTGGTGCCGCCTGCCAGCCTGTCTCCCTGAGCAGGCCCCCGTCTCCAGCAAACCCCCTCACCGGGACCCTCAAAACAGCGAAGCCTGATTAAGACTACTCCCCCAGGGCTTGAAACAGCTGTGGACGGCAGCCCCTTCCCTCTTCCCGGATGTGGTTCCCCCGCCTCCGACGGGATGTGTGGCAGAGGAGGCTGGCAGACACGGACCGGCGGGTGCCTGCTCTGGCGCTTTGCCCAAGCATGTGACTTAGAGACACTTATTAGATCACAGGGAAGTTTTGGCCACAGGAACCTGCATGAGCCAAAAAGCCCGGAGATGGGGGAAAACAAAGTGGGCTTAAGGAATAACACTGAGTTCTGTGGGGCAGGGAGAAATGCAGGAATGGTGCCTGGAAAGGCTCTTTAGGCTGAGACACAGGTAAAGGGTAGGACTTACTTGTGCCTCAGTTTCTCCATCTGTAAAGTGGAGGTAATAATAATAGTACCTCATAGGTGGTTGGGAAGATTCAGGGAGATAACCCGTGTGAAAAGCTTGGAGCCAGACTTAGCACGTGCTGAGTGTTTGGCAGACACCCGCTGTTGTGTGATCAAGCAGGCGTTGTCATCACCCCTGTTTTACAGGTGGGGCTCGGAGAAGAGAAATGACTTGTCCAAGGGCGTAGGTTTAGGAAGGGGTAGAGCCCAGGACTTGAACCCAAGTCCTCTGACCCCACGGCACAGGCTCTGAGCATGGAGCTGGACGACACGTGCTTCCTGTGGGAGCTGGGGCCACAAGTGACCGCAGAAGGCAGCTTCCGCCACCTGAGGGGGTGGGAGTAGGTCAGAGGCTACGCCCTCGTGGGCAAGGGACGAGCTCAGCTGAGGGTGGCAGGGCGCTCGGGGGCCCAGAATCCCCACCCACCACCTCGGAGCAGGGCGGCTCTGAGCGGGGCCGGGGCCGGGGCCGGGTGGTGGAGCAGACATAGTTGTCGGGAACGCCATCTGAGAAGGAAGGAGGGCTCCAGGAGGCGAGAGGCTGAGGGCCACGACATGGAGGGGCCGTGCCCAGGTGAGCACAGGCGGGCGAGGGCGCAGGCGGGCCCTGGGTGGGGGACTGAGCCCAGCACCGAGGCGTCAGGACATCTGACAGAGATGAGGGTGATCACAGGCAGACAGGTGTGAGCCTGGGGGCCTGCCAGCGGGGAGAGAAGAGTGGCTAGGTTTTACATGGTTACGAGCACTGTTCAGCCTGGCTTCATAGGAGACCCCTGGATTCTCAAACTGTCTGTTGAAAATGTTGTTTTGGTCAACTTCAGTGAAAATCCGGGCTCACACAGTTGGGAGGGGGAGGCAGAATCCCAGAGTTTCTCAGAGCAGCCTTGGGGAGCTGCTGTTCTAGAAGGAGGCTAAGTACCCCTATTTTATAGCTGGACAAACTGAGTCACGGGCAAGGACCAGGACCCCTGAGTCCAGGCTAAACTGTTTAGCCTGGAGGGGCCCTGGAGGAGGGCTGTTCCTCCCAGCCGGCCCTGGTCCCAGAATAGCCAGCGAGCTTGGGCCAGGGGAGGAAGTGAGGCTGGGCCGCCCAGGGAGCAGAGCAGATAAGCCGCTGGGCCTCCGGCAGGAGGGCCACGGCTGCCGGCTGTAATGCCCGGCGCGCCAGCCGGAGAAATGCGATAGCACAGCCCGCAGCCCCGGAGCCCTGGGAGGGACCTGTTCCCAGAAGCCTGTCCCTGGACACCGCCGCCAACCTCGGGGCTCATTTCCTGGTTAAACAAACATCTGTGCTGAATGGCCCGGTCGGGCAACGCCCAGGAGCAGTTCTGAAGGGGCCTCCCTGTCCGGCCGATGAAGACACATCCATCATCGGCAGAGTCACTAACGCGGGACAGCCCAGGCGGCCCACCCAGAGCCTGCCCACCTGGCAGGGGGGCCGGGAGAGACGTGCAGAGCGGCCCGTGCCCCGACCGTCACAGGAGGCCCTCCCGACATCTTCGAGATTGTGAGTGGTCACAATGGCAACTCCAAAAGTTCAGGTGGGGCGAGACCACTGCCTCCATCATCTCATCATCTAGTCTTTGCAGTGGGGAGCAATGACCCGTCTTGTCCCGTGGGAAGACAGGCATCTGAGAGGGGCTTGCGCTCGGTCACGTAGGTGCCCGTGGGCTGGCTGGGTTGTGGATGGGGTGTCCTGACTTCTAGCCCAGGTCTCTTTGCTGGGGACCACGGTGGGCGCTGCTCTGATGGTGCGGAATCAGAAAGAGCTGAGGCCAGGGGAATTGCCTGGGGCCCCTGGAGTGCTAGACCCCTGCTACCGCCTTCACAGTGCTGGTAAAGCAGAGGTGTTCTGCGATTTTGAAAACTCCGCCTCCTCCAATGAGCAGAAACACCATTTACTGAGTACTTACCAAGTGCCAGATACGCTGCCGAGTGCTTGGATGTTGGAGCCAGACTACCTGCGCTTGAATCTTGGCTCTGCCACTTACTAGCAATGACTCTGGGCAAAGAGTAGGACATATTTGTGCCTCAGTTTTCTCATCTGTGAAATGGAGATCACAATAAGGGTACCTACCCTTCAGGTTGTAGGGAGGATTCAGTGAGATAATACATGGTAAAAACTTAGAGCCATGCTTAGCACAAGCCAAGTGTTCACTAAATCTAGCTGGTATGTTGTTAAGTAGGTATTGTATTATTATTATTAATCACCCACATATTACAGGTGGAGCTTGGAGAAGAGAAGTGACTTGTCTGGGGGCACAGGTGTAGGAAGGGGTAGAGCCCAGAACTTGAACGCTGGCCTCCTAACCCCAGAGCACAGGACTCAGCATCAAGCTGGGTGACAGGTGAGAACCGAATCGCAGGTCCCTGGAAGGTTGGAGGTCATCTGGACTCTTGGCCTCCTCTAAAAGGACAGACCTCCTTTCTCTACAAAGTAATTCTCTTTTTGGAAGCTTGACTACAGGGTTTTCCTAGCTGTTGAGGCCCGTCCTGCAGGATGCATTTCCGTTGTGAAGGTTGTGTTTACGAAGCCTTCCCCTGCTTGGGCAGTGAGCTGCTCTCGCCCACAGAGCCCTGCAGATGCAGAAGGCAGGCAGTGGACCTGGGTTGGCGCCTGTGGTCGGGGGAGGCCAGGGGAGGCTGGGGCCTCACAAGTTTCCCCCCTGCCCTGTGGCTGCTGTAAGAGCGGCGCCCACCAGAGAGGCGGCGGTGAGAGGCAGGAGGGAGACTGACCAGCGGCCCAGGTCCTGCTTTATTGGGTGGCCTTGGAGAGGCTGGAACCTCCAAAACCCCGTGCTCTCAGCCAGGGAGCCACTGGGGGCAGACCAGCGAGGGAAGGGAACTCATTTACTGAGCACCTGCTACGTGCAGGGCACTCTATCTCATTTCGTTTGTTCATTCAAATGTTTCTTGACCATCTTCTGTGTGCAAGGATAACAGCAGGTGGTGTGACTGCAGTAAAGAAAAATGCAGGGGATTCGGGGTGCAAGCAGAGATTCTCACCCCCATGAGCCCCTGGCCCCCAGGAGACGTTTGGCAACATCTGGAGACATACTTGGTTGTCACAGGTTGAGGGGGCTGCGGCTGTCATCCAGTGGGTGAGGTCGTGAATGCTGAACGTCCTGCAGTTCGCAGGCCAGCCCTTGCAGTGAAAAGCTGTGTGGCCCAAAATGTCATGGTGCCAAGGCTGAGAACCCTGGGGTAAGGATGACTGTGGGAGTTCTCTGCGTTGGGTGGTCATGTACGGCCACAGTGAGGATGTGACTTTTGAGCAGAGACCTGAGAAAGTCAAAAAGTAAGAATGCGTCACAGGCAGAGGGAACAGCAAAGGCAGAGGCCCAGAGTCGGGAGAGCATCACCAAGCCCAGGTCAGGCTGGTTGTCCACCATGTCTCAGATGAAAAAGACTGAGGCTCGGAGGTCGTGGTTTCCCAGCCGTCACACGGTTCCACGAGGCTGGAGCCAGGCTTTGAACTTGGAGGGGCTTGATTCCAGGGTCTGTTTGCTTCCCTCTGCCCCGACTGCTTGAGTCAGAGCAGTCGCTCAGCCTTCACTTTGCAGTTGAGGCCTTTTCCTACTTGACCCTGTAAATTATTTGTTCCTATTTCATTGCTGGGCACTTGGTTCTGTTCCTGGTACTGCCTCAAGGTGCCAGAACCACAAGGATGATGATACCCATTATGTCTGTTGTGCTGTGTGCAGACACTGTTCCAAGTGTCAGACACAGACACAGAGGGCGATGTGCGGATACGCAGAGATGGTCACTCTGTGGATGTGTACCCTCATTTATCTTCACCATCATGAGATGTGTCCGCATGACATATGAGAGACTGTTACACCACTGTGCCCATTTTACAGATAAGAAAATTGAGGTACAGAGAGGTTAAATGACTTGTTCAACTAATACAAGGCAGAAGCAGAACTTGAGCCCAGACTGCCTGGTTCTGGAGTCTGTGCTCTTAACCGCAGCCCCATGTGGCTGCTCCCCCGACATGGAGTGCGTTTCTAGTCCCTGGAGTGGACGGTCCGCTGACCGTGGCTCCTCGAGGTTAGCAACACCCAGGGTCGGCAGAGAAGGGCCTTTTCCAGTCGCTTTGCCCACACATGGGAAACAGGCCCAACGTCCCCACCTGTCCTGTCAGGCTGCCCCGCTGTCTCTGCTCTTCCGAGTCCACTGGCAGGGGTCTGATAACCAGCAGGTCTGGGGCCACAGCCTCTGCTCAGCCCCGCCTGCCCTTCTGGTTTATGGACAAAATCTCAGTCATCTGGAGTCTCGGAGTCTCGCAGGTGAGGAGGCTGGGGCTCAGGTGGTTTAAATGGCTCACCTTCTGAGTCAGCCAGGAGAGGCAGTGCTTCCCAAGTGGGACAAACATTCATTCATTCACTCACTCACTCCTGTGTTCTTTCACTAACAAAAGAGGACCAGCCCTGTGCCAGGCACTGCCCTGCACAGGTGCACTTCCGGGTCCCTGCCTACAGGGGAGACGCAATCCGTGTCCTGAGAGGGGGCTGCCCAGAAAGGATACCTCAGCCACCAGTTCAGGGAGGGGGTCAGGAAGGGCTCCGTGGAGGAAGTGATGGATACTGTGGCTGAGTCTTCTAGGGTAACTGGGAGTTAGCTGGGCAGAGGACGGGGAAAGAAAACCGAGCGGGTGGTACGTGCAAAAGCAAGAAGGGAGAGCTCGCCGGGCACAGAGAGCCACGGGGTGTTCAAGGCAGAGTCCACGGGCGGAGGCAGAGTCCACGGGCGTGCTTGCGGCGGCTTAGCGAGTGCTCACAGTGCACCAGGCACTGGGCAGAGCGCGAGCACAGCAACCTTCCGAGTTAGACACCATGAGCGTCCACATTCACAGGTGAGGCTGCCGAGGCTGAAGATGGCACAGGCAGTGAGTGCCAGGGGCGGGCTGAGAGGTGCGTGGAAGTTGCCTCCAGCAGCGTGACCGGCCTTCTGTAAGCCTGCACCGTGGAGCTAGGGCCCCCCTTCTGCTGCCCCCTCTGGTACTGTCCCTCCTGATGGTTCTGTTTCTTCCCGCAGGTGGAAGGACAGTCCAGGGCCCACGTCATCGCACAGGAACTGCTGTCGTCGGAGAAAGCGTAAGTCCCCAAGCAGCTGCCTGTGGCCTTGCGCTTATTAACGGCCCGTCACCCTCCCCGGCTTTCGCAGAAGGAGGATTAATGCACGCTCCACCCTCTCTCCCCGCAGGTACGTGGAGATGCTCCAGCACTTACATCTGGTGAGTTAATCATTTTAATTGTCCAAGTCTAATTGCCCTTTTACAAGGCTGTGATAGAAGAGGCAGAAGAGCCATGAGGAGGCAGAGATGACCTCCGCAAATGGAGGCCGGGATCCCCGAGGCTTTTCAGGGAAGTCCGTCTCCTGATTCATGTGCGTCAGGAGGTGAACAGCACATCCCTTCAGTGGATCTGTCTGTGCCTGGTAGGGGTAGAGGGGGAATCCTCTGGACTCTTAGAGGAAGGGAGGCCAGGTGCAGGGACCACCTGGGGTCCCGGCACTGCCACCCTCATGGCCCCCCAGATGGCCTGGACAGGCTCCCTGTGCAGTCAGTTCCATTCACTTCAACCAGCGTTTTTCTGGACACTTGCTGTGTGACAAGAGTTGGGAATAGAGAATCAGATCAGACAGGGCCCTTCTTGGGGCAGTCTGTCCAGGGGAGGACACAGACTAGTGAGCGAGTAACTACCCGGAGCACAGGGGGCGTGACTGACAGCCTCGGGGAGTCTAGGCAGGCTTCCCTGGGGGAAGACGTGGGGCTGGGTCACAGGGAGGAGCCTAGCATCTGATCCTGCGCGGCTTTGTGTTGTTCGCGTGTCTTTCCAAGCACGTCAGAGCTGGGAATGTCCATCCTGGACGTTTTGTCGGTGGTGACGTGATGGCTCAGAGGGAGTGACTTGGCTGGTGTCACATGGTAGCTGAGCCAGGATGAACCCCCGGGCCTCCTGCCTCCCAGTGCACTGTCGTCATGTTTAAAGTTAACCATGTGTCCCCGCCGCCCTTGGAGCTCCGTGGGGCGGGGGCCTCCCTGGAGGGAGTAGAGCACCCGGCACCGAGCCAGGTCTCCGGTCAAATCCCACTGAGGTCCCTCTCGGTGACATCACCTTGGTGTCACATTACCATGTGTGCAGGGGCACCCAGATCCCCAGGAGGTGGTCCACACTCCCAGCCCCTCATTTTTGCCCTACAGGATGAGGACTGTGTGCACATGATTAAACCCAAGCCCTGGGTATGACGCGTACCAGCCCCAGCACACACCTGAAAGGTCTGTCCTGCATCATCTCCCGTCTCTGATTCTCTCTCCCTTGCTCCTGAGCTGGCAGCGTGTCAGAGGGGCTGGGCATTTTTATTTTATGACTTTGTTAAGAGGATTTTAACTGGGAAACTTCCATCTGTGTTTGCACCACTTCCTGCCAGTTGGAAAGATGCTGAAGCCGCTGGTAATCCCTAACAACATCCTGAGGAGGCAAAAAAAGAGCCCATAAAAAAATCACAGTTTGTAAGCTAGTTGCAGGAAATTGTGGTCTGGAGCTGCGCCGTGACGTCAGTGCTTGTGGGGACAGAAGGGCAGAAGTGCCCCCAACGTGACTCCAGTCCTAGCCGGGAGTGCTGGTCTAAAGAAGACCCACAGATTTTGGGACGTTCTCTGCCTCTCCCATCCCTGCACCTTGTCTGACTGCTCAGGGTGGAGGGTGCTCTCAGGGTTTCTCCTTAGAGATCTGCTGCTGCTGGAATCCCAGGGCTGCCCGGTGACGGGGAGGGGCCGACTGTGCATTCTAACCTCCCCGGCTGGAACAGTCCTGACTCTACCGGGCTGTTGTGGAGAGTGGGGCGGGGATGGCCTCTGGCCTTGTGTGTTTGAAATTCTACTCTGTATGTCACATGGTAGATAGAGCTACCTCAGGGATTACTAAAAGTTCTGGTCACCCAAAATTGAATTCTGTTGGTCAAAATCTTGTTTTTGTACAGTCTATTCACTGAGCGAAGTTTACATTTTTTAAACATTTGTGAAAAAAAGCAAACAAGAATAATACATGACTGAGACCATATGTGGTCCACAAAGCCTGAAATGTTTATTATCTGGTCCCTTACAGGAAAAGTTTGCTGACTTCTGGTTTAAAGACATGCTCTCTCCTTCCAGGAACCCAGTCATAAATATGTTAATCCAACTGCCCATCTGTCTCTGTGATCAACCTCTCACACACTCATCTAACCAGGCATTCACCCACTCATTTGTCCTTTAATCTGTCCATGCATCTAACAATACATCCATGCTTCCATTCTCCACCCTGAGTTCATCTACTACTTGTATGTCCATCCACCCACCCACCCATCCATCCACCTACCCACTGACCCATCCGTCTATCCATTCACCCACTCATCCATCCATCCATCCACCCACCCACCCATCCAACCATCCACCCACCCACCCACTCATCTATCCACCCATCCATCTATGCATCCACCCACCCATCCACCTACCCACTGACCCATCCATCCACCCACCCACTCATCCCTCCATCCTTCTGGTTTGAACATCACAGGATGTTTACAGTGCCATAGACACTGAGATAGGTCTTGGAGCCCCACATGTGAAAAAGGCCCAGAACCTGCCCTTGAGGAGGTCTCTCGTTTTCTGTCGAGGGAAAGGGTTGAGGTGGGGAGGAGTACTATGTCAGTTAACAGTTATGCTGCTCTGTGATGATTATCATTTGTGCAAAATTCTGCAGGAGCTTGGAGGAAGGAGAGGCTTATTCCCTATTGGGGCGTCCAGGACAGTTGGCAGAAGAGGCGCCACTGAGATGGGCTTTGAGGGAGCCCACCAGGCCAGGGTGGTGGTGGTGAAGGAGGGCAGGTGGTCAGCACCGGCCCCTCGCGGACCTGAAAGTACACGATGTGTGTGTGGAGAAGGTTGCGTCGTCACATGTTGTTAGGATGTGGATACATTGAGAAAGGCAGGTTGGAGGTGGAAGCAGGTCCGGCGATGGGCCCGTAAACAAGGTTAGGACCAGACGGGGTGGCCCTAACGTGCCTCAGGCCAGGGGCCCGTGCTCTCCCTTGCATACAGTGAGTCACGGGAGGTTCTCAGCAGGTATGGCCCCAGACACCTTTAATTCTCTGTTTTCTCATCTGAAAAAGAATTCCTCTCCTAGCGGAAGCAGAAAACTCCTACTGTTGGCCCCTCTTTTGGGTTAAGGCATGAGGCCTGTTCAGAAGTCAGCCTGGTGGCTGGGAGCAGTAACTCTGGAAGTTAGTTATCGCCGTCTGATGGCCCAGGAGAGGGTTCCTCACCACAGAGGCCCTGAGTGATCCAGTCCCCTGCGTCTGCACCTGCGCCGTGACCTCTGGCCACTTCCTCCTTCATGGGCCTGGCCACACAGGCCTTCTTGCTGTCCTTCACATGCTGCAATTGCAGGCCCGTTGTGCGGGTTTTGCACTCACCCTTCCCTCTGCTGGCGTGTCCTGCCCCTGACCTTCCCAAAGTCAGTTCTTCCTTCTCATTCTGGCCTCAGTTTAAGTGTCTCCTCTCCAAAGAAGTGGTGCCCCCAGATTTTGTGGCATAAAACAGCCATGTTGTGATGCCCACAAATTTTCCAGGCCAAGAGCTCAGACAGGGCAAGGTGGGGACAGAGTGTCTGCTCCATGAGGTCTGGAGAAGGTTTAAAAACGAGGAGTGACCCGATGGCCAGGGGCTGGAATCGAACACACCCAGCTGCTGGTCAGTGCTGGCTACTGTTTGAGACCTCAGCTGGATGGGTGGCCAGAACACTTACTTGCAGTCTCTCTGCATGGGCAGGTTTGGGCTTCCTCCTAGCATGGTAGTTGGGTACCAAGAATGTGTGTCCCAAGAGAGAGGAAGGAGGAAGTTCATGGCCTTTTTGTGATCTAGCTTGGAAGTAGCAAGATCGTAAAAGCAGCACCACTTCCACCACACTCTGTTAGTTGAGACAGTCACAGACGCCAGGAGATTCAAGAGGAGGGAACATCGTCTTCGCCGTTCAGTGGGAAGAGTGTCAAGTTCACATTGCATGAAGACCATGTGAAATAGGAGATATTGTTAGGGCTATTTTTGGAAAATACAGTATACTACCGAAGCCTTTCCTAATAATTCTGTGTTAGTTAAAAATTGTGCTCAACTGCTAGTAATAAAAACCCAATATGCTGCCTTGCATAATTTAGAGGTACTTTTCTCTTGTAGAAATAAGTCCAGAAGTAAGAAAGATCCAGGTCAAGTTTGGCAGCTCCAAACAGTCTCAGGGACCAAGGTTCCATGTGTCTGCTGCCTCCATTTCCAAGGTTCCTTGTGAAACAGGATGGCTGCTGCAGCTCTCACCATCACATCCATGTCCCAAGCAAGAAGAAGAAGAGAGGCAGAAAATCAAAAGGTTGTGCCCCCAGCTGAGTTAGTTCACTTGAAACAGATTTCCTGAAAGCCTCTGACGACTTCTGCTTCCATCGCATTGGAAGGGATGTTGTAAGGGAGGCTGGGTCAACTGGAAGTCATTTGGCCAAAACTGGGTTCAGATCAGTGGCTGTGTTTCTTGTGTGTTTATTCTGGGGCCCAGGCTGAAGGTGCAGCGGGAACCCAGGGGAGGCTTTTCCCAGGATGACGGTAGGAGAGCAAGTAAAACACCAGAGGGCTTCTGAGATTCATGCTCACAACTGGGACGTTGTCACTTCTCCCCATCCCACTGGCCAGTCCCGGAGGCAGAGGACAGGGAGGTGTCTCCCCAGGGATGATGCTGTGGCAAGAGTGCGACGCAGGGAGGGTGAAGAAGCTCAGCTCCGCTGCCTCATCCGCACTCTCTCCTGCTCTGTTTCCTTCCCTTCACTGCACTTTTCACCATCTAAACCGATCTGATTTATGAATCTCTTCTGTCATGTTTTTATTTTCGTCGGTGTCACATACTTTCCAATTCCCCTTGTGATTTCTTCTTTGACCTAGGGGTTATTTAAAATTGCTTAATTTCCAAAGGAAAAAAAATTTTTTAAACTGCTTAATTTCCAAATATTTGTGAATTTCCCAGATTTCCTTCTACTGCTGATCTCTGATTCCATTCTCCAAAGTGATTGGAGAATATGCTTTGTGTGGTTTCGGCCCTTTTGAATGTACTGAGACTCGCCTGTGGCCTGACACATGGCGCGTCCTGGAGGATGTCCCGTGTGTGCTCGGGAGGGATGTGTCTCGCTCGGCTGGGTGGGTGTTCCGCAGACGTCAGG